GAGTGAAACAAGGACGAGTTTCAATGAGGATGAACATGGCATCCAGGTCAGCTACTGGCAAATTCTTCAATTTGAAAAGGCTACAAGCCGAGACTAAAGTGGAGGGAGTGTTGGTGCATGATTTTTTGTTTGCAGATGATTACGTACTCAATGTAGTCTCTCAAGCTGAGATGCAACAAAGTATGGATCAATTCTCTCTGCTGCTTGTGCTAATTTTGGCCTAACAATTAACACCAAGAAAACACAGGTGCTCTTCCAGCTAGCAGCACACCACCCACACAGGGAACCATCAGTTACAGCAAATGGAGAAGTTTTGAACACTGTAGATAAGTTCACTTATCTTGGTAGTGTACTTTCTGGGAACGTACACATTGATAATGAAGTTGATGCATGAATTGCCAGAGTGTTTGGGAGTGTTGGACTTGCCTCAGTGTTTGGGAGGCTCCAAAGGAAAGTATGGGAGCGAAGACGTATTAGATTGACTACCAAATTGAAGGTCTACAGAGCCATTATGCTGACCTCATTGTAGTATGCCTGTGAAACCTAAACAGTATACCAGCACCATGCCAGGAAACTGAATCATTTCCATTTGAATTGTCTTTGGAAGATTCTGAAGATCACCTAGCAGGATAAGATACCAGACACTGAAGTCCTTTCTCAAACTAAACTGCCAAGCATTCAAACTCTATTGCAGAGAGCAGAACTCTGATGGGCTGCCATGTTGTTTGAATACCAAACATAAGATTGCCTAAAAGACTATTTTATGGAGAACTCACACAGGGCAAGCATTCACACGGTGGTCAGAAGAAGCGATATAAGGACACTCTCAAGGTCTCTCTTAAGAACTTTGGAATTGATTGTGTAACATGGGAGACACTGGCACAGGCGAGCCCTCATCAGAGAAGGTGCTGTGTTCTATGAGCAAAGCAGAATTGAAGTAGCTCAAAAGAAGCGTGAGATATGAAAATTTAGAGAATTTGCTCCAAATGTTCACATGGACTATTTGTGCCCAACCTGTGGTAGAGCATTCCAAGCTCATATTAGTCTGATGAGCCATACTCAGAGGCATTGTAACTTGACTCTAACATAGTGATATCATTTTGGTCCTCTTCAAGAACAACAACTAACCAACCAAGCATTCTCTGCTCTCATTCCAGCATGGAGTGGTGGATAAAATGCTGGACTTGGATACAGGAAAAGTGGGATTCATATCGATCAGCCGGACCAAACCAGTCTCTAATCTGAGGGTGGTCGTTGCCTAACAGAGCAGGCTAGGGACAGGAGAATCAAACAGAAGTTTAATTTCAAAGTGAGGAGAAAAGTCTTGCAAGCAAGAAGGCAGATTAGACACATGTGCCAGGGCACCCACCACCCCAAGTGAGGGAACCCAGGCAGTATGGGGAGATGTCAATGCTTATACCAATGGCTTTGCAGTGAGCTGTAGCCCTGACAATGAGGCGTAACAGCAACAATGTGACAAATTTGACTCAGAGCAGGGCTTCACGACTGGAACGTGGGTACTTGTCTGAGCTTATTTGAACTCAGAGAACACTTGGTGCTCCTTTGTAAAGGCAGATAGGAAGGAAGGAATATGAATAAACACCTACGATGTGCCAGGCATTGTACAAAATGTTTGCTTTCTTTTTAAAAACAAATAGTATTTGATCCTTATAACAATCCTAAGAGGTAGGTGCTGTTATTATCCCCATTTTACAGTTGAGGAAACTGAAGCAAACAGAGGTTAAGTGACTTGCCCACAGTCACACAGCTAGTTAGTGTCTGAGGCCAGATTTGAACAGAGGTCTTCCTGCCTCCAGGCTCACCACTCCATCCACCGAGTTAATAGTTTGCCTCCTAGGTAGGAGAACCAAGTGAGCAGTGTCAGAAAAATCCAGAAAGGAGAGAGTAACCAGGAGGAACTTGTAGTAAACAAATGTCAGATGCTGTAGAGAGGTTGAGAAAGATGAGGACTGAGAAAAGGCCATTAGGAGCCTTTTTTGGTGTCCATTTTTCGGGATGCTCACCCCATTCTGTTCCCACCTCACCATTCATACCCATTCCCTACTCTAGTTTGCGCCCTCATGACCTTGTAGCACGTCTCTCACTAACTGCCCCTCCCCTGTCCTGCCACTTTGGCTGAGGGATTGATAGCAAGTGAAGGGAGAGGCTTACCATGGGTGGGAGGGAGGTGCCAAGCTCAGGGGAGGAGAGAGGAAAAAGTAGGGTTACTGCTCTTTGATGAGGCTGCCTAATGAATCGACTCAGCCTTCTCTGCAAGGTTAGAAGTCAGCAAAGGTCAGTGACCAGGCAAGGGAGAGCAGGGGAAGCACCCACCCTACTGATGCAGGGTACACCACGTCTGGGATCCCAAGGTCCATGAAACCATACATACTTCTAAATCCCAGCCTCTGCATCAGATAAGCAGTCCTACTAGAAGTGTGAGCTGAATATCCTATAGAAACTGGGTCCTTTATACTCTTTAACTAGCTCACAGGGGTCACAGCCATGGGGAACTAAACAAACTCAGACTGTGCTTATGTGTTGCTTGTTGTTCAGTTGTATCCTACTCTTTGTGACTGTGGACCATTGCATGCCAATACTGTCCATGGGGTTCTCTTGGCAAAGATACTGGAGTGGTTCACCATTTTCTTCTCCAGTAGATTAAGGCTAACAGAGGTTAAGTGACTTGCCCAGGGTCACACAGTTAGTAGTGTCTGAGGCTGGATTTGAACTCAGGTCTTCCTGACTCCATGCCTATCCCTCTATCCACTGAGGCACCCCGGTCCTCACCTATGTGTTAGTGCCAGCCAAACCAAGGTTGTTTTAAGACACTAGGTGATGTCTGGTTTGTAGTTCCTATATCTCTTTATAGAATGTCTATAAGCTATATCTGTATTTAGGACTTTTAAAACTGTAAATGTTAATCTTTGAAATGAATTGATTTTGCTTCATGCACACAAATACTTATACATATATTGCTATAGTGCATATATATGTATAATATATTCCATATATAATACATATATAGCTATATTGCTAAATTTAGGCCCCCGTTCTGTAAAGCAGGTGACCTATCTTTGGTACTAATACCCCAATCTGGGGTACCGCCACCTCTTCTTTGGTGCTACAAGCTCCATGAGTTATCTGGGAGCTGCCCCTCCCCCCAATAAGCCAATCTGAGATAATATTCTTTTGTACTGCCCAGATACTGATAGAGGCTCAACTCAAGACCCAGAAGGACCATAATGATTGTGTCCTGTCTGTAGCCCCTCTGAGACCTCTCCTAGATGCAAAGAATATCTGTCAACAAAGCTTATTAACTTATACTTAATAATATTAATATTATTAATTAATAAACTTTATTAGGATACATAAGTTCTGTGTGCGGCCTGACTGCCTGTGGCAATTTTTTTTTTAATCATAAAGGTTCTAATTTAGAGGGTAATTGTTGCTAAATACAGGAAGTAATATGGACAGAAGAATCAAATCAATTCCTCTCTTCAATTACCTCTGAGAGAACACTCCAAATAACCCAAACTCATTTGGTGAAGAAGTACAGCATTGACCCAATGTAAAGCAGGTTTGTGTAAGATGGTGCCATACCAACAGTTTTGATACCCTCTCCTGGATGACACTGGGAAGCAAATGAAAGAATGATGCTTACACTTCCCTTACTACCCTTAAGATGCAGCTAGATGGTGTAGAAGATAGAGCAGAGGATGAACAGAAATCAAATCCTACCTCAAATGCTTATTAGCCATGTGACCCTGGGCAAGTCATTTAACCTCTGACTGCCTCAGTTTCCCCCTACACCAGAACTAGTGATAGATCAAAAGAAGGATGAGCTCTAATTCTCAAATAACTGGAAGTTGAGGGGATGCCCATCAACTGGAGAATGGCTGAACAAGTTGTGGTATATGAATATGATGGAATACTATTGTGCTATAAGAAATGATGAGCAGGCCGACTTCAGAAAAACCTCAAAAGATTTTCCATGAACTGATGCTGAGTGAAATAAGCAGAACCAGGAATCATTGTACACAGTAACAGCAACATTGTATAATGACCAACTGTGATAGACTTAGCTCTTCTCAGCAATGCAAGGATCTAAGACAATTCCAAAAGACTCATCATGATGGAAAAAGCTATCCACATCCACAGAAAGAACTATGGGAGTGTCTCTCTCTCTCCCTTTCTCTCTCTCTTTCTCTCTGTTGTTTCTTCTTTCTTGTGGTTTCTCCCATTGATTTTAATTCTTCTTTACGACATAACTAATGTGAAAATATATTTGATATGAATAAATATGTATAGCCTATATCAGATTCCATGCGGGAGGTGGAGGGGAAGAAAATTTAGAAATCAAAATTTTATGGAAGTGAATGTTGAAAACTAAAAATAAATCTTAAAAAAAGTGAATTCCGGGGTAGCTAGGTGGTACAGTGGATAAAGCTCTCACATTGGGAGTCAGGAGGACCTGAGTTCAAATTCAGCCTCAGACACTTCCTAGCTGTGTGACCTTGGGCAAGTCACTTAACCCCACTGCCTCGCCAAAAAAAGCGAATTCCCCTTAACAGAATGTTGAGAATATGTTATGTATATGATGCCTCTAATGGTTTGCTTTTAATTGGCAAATTGAAATTCTTCCCCCATAGGCAGGTAAGAAATCCTTGGATTTTTTTAAAATTAGAATTCAAAACACAGGAGAAATTTTCTAGTAACTATACTGAGTATTAAACTCTGAAATACATTGTACCATTAAAAAAAAAAAGAATCTCGACTTTCTGGGGCAAACCAATGAAATAGGGCTAGAGGTGAGTGGGGGCAGAGTGAAGGGAGCACTGACTTGCATTTCAAGAGACTGCATCTTCTCTCCATTAGATTGGGATGCAGGGAGGGGGCTCCGTAGTATTTTAGTATCTCCTTTGGATGACTCATCCGCTTGCTCTCTTCCAGTGCCAGGGTATGCTGACCTCGATGATGTATTTATAGGCTTATGATATGACGGATTCAGATCTCGTGATATTACTGGTCTCAGCAAAATTGCTTTGCATAGGGGCCCGGGGCTCCCTCCGGTTCATCCTGTAGTTCTGCTGCGCGAGGTTAGACACCCTTTTATCAGATTGGCACCTCCTTCTATCTCTTCATGGCTTTAACGCGAAGTCCCCGGTGGTTTGCGAAAGGCGTTGCAGACTTGGCAAACTCCCCGTGGCCGCCCACTCTCCGTGGTCGGGTCTGGCTGGCTTCTCCGCGCCTGATTAGCAGCCCCGAGCCTCCGACCTTTGGCTCCAGCTTCGGCGTCCTCTCCAAACGGGCCGCCGCCGCCTCCTCCTCCTCCATGGCCGTGAGCTTGCGCTGGAGTCCCGGGCCCCGCAGCCTGTGGGACGAGCCGCTGGCCATCTCCGTGCACGGTCTGGCCCCGGCCCAGCCGGTCACCCTGCGCGCCTCCTTCCGCGATGAGAAAGGTGAGCTCTTCCAGGCCTCGGCCCGCTACCAGGCGGACGCGGGCGGCCAGCTGGACCTGGCGCGGGCGCCCGCCCTGGGGGGCAGCTACAGCGGCGTGGAGCCCATGGGGCTCTTCTGGAGCATGAAGCCCGCCAAGCCCTACTGGCGGCTGGTGAAGCGGGACGTGCAGACCCCATTCCTCGTGGAACTGGAGGTGTACGACGGTCACGACCCCCAGCCCACCAAGGTGATGGCACAGGTGGTCCACGAGCGGGGCTTCCTGGGGCCGGGGGTGAAGAGGATCCCGGTGCGAGAGGGCAGCGTGAGGGCCACCCTCTTCCTGCCTCCAGGTGAGTGCCCCTACGACCCCCCCCCACCCCTCATGCTTTTCTTCTGTGACCCCTCATCTAATAACCGACCACCCCTCTTCCTTTCCATCTCCTACAGCATTCTGAAGTTCCAGGGATCCCCCTGGCATTCTAAAAGAAACTTGAGATGTCAGAGGGATGGATGGACATGTCTCAGGGGTTTGGGGGGCAAGCACTAAGGAGTTGGCTTAGAAATCAGTCTAAAGTTCTTTCCAATTCCAAATCCCATGATTTCTGATCTATGACTGAAGTCCCAGGTTCAAGTCCAGGAATCCATCACAAGACTCCTCCAATTAGCCTGTGACCAAGTCCCATGACCTCAGTTCCATAAAGCAAAATTTGTGATTGTCTGTTACCCTTAGATATTCATTAAAGGTTATGCTATTTGGGGCAAGCCCTATCAAACTGGTAAGGCATCATCAGATGCTGATACTACGTGTTTCTCTTGTCTAAATCCCAACCTAGGTAAGCTCCTGACCAAAGTTACCTTTCAATGGTGAGTTTTTTAGCCACTGTAATTTTCAAAGATCAGTTATACAGGGATTGTGGCCCCCCCCAGAGACAAGATCATAGATACTTGAAATATTAAAGTAAGTTTAGCAAAAAAAAAAGGGGGGGGGCGGCATAAAAAAGAATTGCAGGAATAAATGGGCAACAAGCTGTTAAACTGTCTCTTTTGTGGATGTTGTGATTGTGTTTTTTGAAAATCTAAGAGAATGGAGGAAAAAACTGAGGTAATAAATGACTTTAGTAGGAAAGTGAGGCAAATTGAGGGAATTTTTATGTCACTAACACAAAGAAGGAAAAATTGATGGAGAAATATTTACTATGGTGACAAAACATAGAACATATAGACATTTATTTAAATTACTGATACAAATAAGACCTATAAAAGTAGAGCTATAAAATGATTTTGGTAGGAACAAAGGAAGAAGCAAATAATTGAGGTATGATCTTGTTCACATGGCTAAGCCAAGAAAATAATATAGTAGCAGTGTTGACAGTTTCTAAATAAAGTATAGATTTACAGTATAGCAGGTGGAAAAAAGGGTTTTTCCTTAAACTCAGAGTAGTTATTAGTGCTTAGATAAAAGAGATTAAAAAGAAAAAAATTAAATACACCCTGCTCTCAAAGAGCTTACATGGGGAAACAATACACAAAACACAGAGGTAGACAGAAAATATATAAAAAGCAAATTTTTGTTGTTAAATCATTTTTTTACTCTTCATGACCCCATCTGATGTTTTCTTGGTAAAGATACTGGAGTGGTTTTCCATTTCCTTCTGCAGCTCGTTTTACAGATAAAGAAACTGAGGCAAACAGGGCTAAGTGACTAGTCTATGGCCACAGAGCTAGTAAGTGTTTGGGGCCAGATTTGTACTCAGGAAGATTGAGTTCGTGACCCCAGGCCAACCACTTTATCCACTGTGCCACTCATAAAAAGCAAATACAAGGTAAATACAGTTTCAGAGTGGGTGGGGAAAGCACCAGCAGCTACTGGGAATCAGGAAATGTCTTATGTAGGAAGTGAGCTTTGAAGGAATTTATATACTTAAAGGGCAGGTGTAGGAGATAGCGAAGGCGTGGAGGTGAAATGGATGACTTGAGTGAGGACAGCAGGTAGGCCAATTTGTGTGTACTGGAGAGTACAGAATGCTGAGTCATGTGTAGTAAGCGTAAAAAGGTGGACTGGAGCCAAGTTGTGAAGAGTTGCTGATGCTAGAGGAAATGGCGAGCCGCTGGAACCTCTTGAGAAGGGAAGTGATATACGTGCTCAGACCTGAGTTTTAGTGGTGGCTGTGAGGGGAGATTGTGGAGGCAGGGAGGCTATTGTAATAGTCTAAGCAAGAGGTGATCATGCATATACTTATCTAGGTAAATGTGTCATCTGCAGAACACAAGTTCTTTAAGGGAAAGGGACTTTTTGGCTTGTATTTATATTTAATATATGTATATATTATTTATATTGCTAGAATCAGATACAATGCTTCATGTATAGTAAAGGCAGCAGTAGATAAGAGTACGAGCCCTAGAGTCAAGTAGTAGTTGAAATCCAGCCTCAGAAAATGACTAGCTGCTCGACCTTGGAGTCAGGAGGACCTGAGTTCAAATCTGACCTCAGACACTTGACACTTACTAGCTGTGTGATCCTGTTCAAGTCACTTAACCCCGATTGCCTCACCAAAAAGCAAAAGAAAACTACTAGCTGTATGACCCTAGAGAAGTCATTTTACCTTTGTCTGCCTCAGTTTGCTCATCTGTAACACCTATATCTGCAGAGTTGTTGCAAGAATCAAATAATTGTAAAGAAGTTTAAATAATTATAAATTAAATTAAATAATTGTGAAGTTAGGTTTAAAGTAAGTTTTAAAGTTTAAAGTAAGTGCTGATTTTAAAGTGCTTAGCACAGTGCCTGGCATATAGAAGGTGCTATATAAATGCTTATTACCTTCCCTTTCTCCCTCCCCCTTTACACTTATTGCTTTAATAAATGCTTATTAGATGGGATTGGAAGTGGCTTCTCTTCTCTATAGGAGGGTTCATGCCAAAGCAATCTGTAGTTCTGATTGGAGAACTTCTAGTATCTAGAAAGGAGATTCTTTTTGTTGTTGTTGTTGTTGTTTTGTTTGTCTAGGCAATGGGGTTAAGTGACTTGCTCAGGGTCACACAGCTAGTAAGTGTCAAGTGTTTGGTCTGAGGCCGGATTTGAACTCAGGTCCTCCTGACTCTAGGGCCAGTGCTCTATCCACTGCGCCACCTTGCTGTCCCTGGAAAGGAGATTCTTTAGCATCTGATCCAGTCTTCTCATTTTACAGATGAAAAAACTGAGATCCAGAGATGAAATGACTTGAATGTCCAAGACTTGCACCCAGGTCTTCTGATAAATCTGGTCTTTACCCTACTCGACTTTGTCATGTGATATATTCAACCACTTTACTAAGGAGAGTATAATAACCTAATTTATTTTTTATTTAATTACTGAGAATGTTGCAGTGTCTTGGAGCAATGATTATGACCACAAATTATTATTGGCATAGTACCATCATTGGAGAAGGTGTGGGAGCCAAATTGTGCTTATCCTAAAAAGATCATAATGGGGGATCAGAAAGGGAGTGTAGGTAAATGACTCTTCTTTTACTATTGATGGGAATTCTTTTGGTTACAGCCTATGTACCTCTATAAAGTCTTACTGTGATGGCTCCTCATGGTCGTGCTGTGTTGATTGCAGATGTGATCTTGAAGCCAACTTAATTTGTCTTCTTGAGTTGCCATATTTTCCAGAAAAACTGGACCTGGAATATGCAGGAAGCTGTGAATGACTCAAGGATGAAGACTCCCTTGAGCTGAAATAATTTGATACTTCTACTTTTAGGTAACACAGAATAAGCCCAGAACATTGTAAAATCTAGAAGAGATCAGTAATGATTCAAAGGAGTTTGGCTTGTCTTTGTACGCAAAAGATAAAATGGATAACAAATGCTAGTTGATCAGATGTCAACATGCGTTTGGATGGATACTCCATAGAGCTTGTATTTATATAGTTATAAATAATATATTACATATAACATGTTATTATATAATAATATATTGTACAATATATTATTATCTGATACAATATATGCTTGTATTTGTGGAAATTTAGAGACATTTCTACTCCAAATGTTCGTATGGACTATTTGTGCCTGACCTGTGGTACAGCCTTCAGAGCTCCTATTGGTCTGGTCAGGCACAGTCAGACACACTGTACCTTGATCTTGACAGAGTAATGCTGTTTTGATCCTCTTCGAGAACAAAGGACATCAACTAACCACCATATCTGGGACAGACAATAGAGACAGACAATGGTCCCAGAGTTGAAGAGGAGGAGGAGAGTGGGCTGGATTTTTCTTTCAGGAATTTGCAGAGCTTTTTTTTTTACCAATTCAAAGCTTTTCACAAAAACAAAGGCCCATCTTTTCAATACTAATATTTTGCTAGTGTTTCTACATTACAGCGACATGTGAAATGCCACTGCCTTTGAACACTTAAAGATGTGTGTCACACAGGGGGCAATCAGGAGGTTCAACATATAACCAGTGAGGAAGTCTGAAGAAGCACATGAGTAAATGATGCCACTAAGGAGTTGCATGATGGAAAGAGAAGACAGGAAAGACTAAGAGATGACAGATGGGTGGCCAGAGTGCTCCAAAAGTACCTTCTTGATAACAATAGCAAGCCTTTATGTAGCTTATGCTATGTGCCAAGCACTGTACTAAGTGCTTTACAAATGTTATCTCACTTGATCCTTATAACAACTCTGTGAGGTAGATGCTGTTATTATCCCCATGTTACAGTGAAGGAAACTGAGGAAAACAGTCTAAATGACATACCAAATGTCTGAGACAGGATTTGAACTCAGGTTTTCATGACTTCAGGCCCAGTGCTCTATCCACTATACCACATAGCTACTTCTATGGTGGAATGTTGGGAGGAAGTGAGGAAAGTCTCCATGATGTTGGATAGATCCCCTGTGATGAATTTTTGGAAGGCCATGGACAAGAATCACGTAGGATAGGCAAGCATTGATGGGGATGATCACTCAATGCTCCAATCATGGAAGCCCAGAGAAAAGGCAGAAGATCATCCAGCTCTCTGATGGGGAAAACTTCAAGGGAGATAGAGACCACCGACTCCCTGATCAAGGGAGGCTCAGGGGGTACAGAGACTGCCCAGCCTCCTAATCAAGCAAGCCTCAAAGGGGACAGAGACCAACCAGCCTCCTGATCAAGGAAGCCCCCAGGAGGCACAAAAGACCACCCAGCATCTAGATCAAGGAGGATTTCTTTCACACCCAGGATCCTGATCAAGGAAGACAGAAGATCACTCAGTGCTCTGATCAGAGACAGCTGACCGTAGAGTTCTGACCAGGGACACTGAAGCATACCAACACTCTGAGTGTAAATGGAAGCCAATGGAAGGAACACAGGAAATTGAATTCAGA